ATATATATATATATATATATATATATATATATATATATATATATATATATATATATATATATATATATATATATATATATATAGTAGCAAACAAATGCTTGTGAAGATATTCATGTGGGAGATTCTCTTTAAAGAATGAATTATGATTCTTATATTTGTATTCCACCTTTGTACGCGGCATCTTTGAATAATTTAGGCCTATAGATGCGTGGGATATACACAACTAACAAGAATCGCCATGAATCATGATGCTTTGTGTGTAGTTTGTATACAGGGATGACAGACAGTAATTTATCATCCACGAGGTACAAGAATATCCCATTCATGTTCCATCATTCAGTCCCACCTCTTGCCCTGATGAAGACATCAGACATGGAGTGTCGAAATGTCATTTGTTTGGTGATTATATCAAATTACTCGAAAAATGTCCAGTTTTAGTTCATTTGTAATTTAGTTCCTTAATCTTGTCACATCGAGTTTTATTAAGTCTTGCTGAATTGAGTGTGCAGTAAAAAATTAAGATCGCATTGAAATTAAATATTCGACGATAATAGTGTTCAAGGAATTGTATCGTCAATTATCAAAACAAATTAACTGTTGGGCCGAGGAGAATAATGAAAATTCCGTTTTTAAAATACCAATTCATGAGGTATATTTAATGCTATTGTACATGGCCAGTTTCACAAAAAAATCAAATGTATATAAACAGTGTGGCGTCAGTGGGATGCCAAATTTTTGTTTTATTAGTTTATTTGTGACGACGAATGACGGAGACACCTGAATGTTAAAATATATTACTAACATTAATGTTTACTTCCGGTTTCAACTTTTAGAATAAAATAGTTGTAATATATCGAAAAGGATGTTGTTGATGGGAATTATTGAGTGAAAATTTATATACATTTTATTGGACCTAACCAGGAACAGCTGCGAAAAATGCAACTGCGGCCCTGCGATTCCTGTACAGCGCTCTAACCAACTGAGCAACAGAGTTATACAGAGGCGCCAGCTTTCCGGCTCTAACTACAATTAAGTTCATGATCATGTACATATACCAGGGTACTCCCATGTTTTAGGTTATGGGTAAATATCAAGATTTTGTTGGCATCTCACTCGAATCAATAGTTGAAGGGTGTTGATGGAAATCACTCGATATAATTTCCGCGCGATACTTTCCATCAACAACACCCTTAACTATTGATTGAATCGAGTGAGATGCCAACAAATCTTGTAATATATCGAACTCTATCAAGTTTTGTAAGACCGGAATGAGAAAATTCGTGCTGCATGTAATGCTAAACATGCAGTTATATCTAATGACTGTTCCTATATGACTACATCTTGAATGTCTGGGAGCACACAATTTAACTTATTAACTTATATATACGCTTGGGAGCACGCAACTATACGCTTCCACTCCTGTAACTACTTGTCAACTTCTATTCTAGTCCAGCGGATATGCACAGATACTTGAGAAAATCATGCACTTCGTGAAGAAAGCACCAAATTCACAGGAAGTGTACACTTTAACATGATAATGAATCTTAGATATGGAGGCATCACCAAAATTGATGCTGACGGCTTAAAATTTAGGATTTCTTATTCTCTTATTAAACTCTTATATACTATTAAAAATTGTGAAATTGCAGGTTCACATATAGCAAAAAATGACATGCGTCATTAGAAAGCTTACAAAAAACTGCATATAAGACATTTAAGCAGTTACTTTGATTTTCCAACTCCTCTGGAGTTATGAGCGGTTGAAAGTATGTTTTAGGGCTAGTGTCCAGGACTTTGGTGGGATATTGCCTATTTATCACGTTTTTAAATAGCAATAACTGGAAAACCGCTTGGAAAATCAATCAGCCGTTTAAAAGTCTTATATGTAGTTTTTTGTAAGCTTTCTAATCATGCATGTAAGTCATTTTTGCTATATGTGAACCTGCAATTTCACAATTTTAAACAGTAATAGAGTTTAATAAGAGAATATAAGAAATCCTAAATTTTAAGCCGTCAGCATCAATTTTGGTGATGCCTCCATATCTAAGATTCATTATCATGTTAAAGTCTACACTTCCTGTGAATTGGGTGCTTTCTTCACAAAGTGCATGATTTTTTACTTTTCCGCTGGACTATTCATGGTGTAATTGATGAAAGGGATAAACTGCAGTAGGTCATTTTCAACTGCCTTGATTCACTAACTGCACTTGACTATACTTTGACTTCATATACCACTTTAGCCCGCGTGCAGGCCGAAGGGAACTGATACCACTTCCATATTGCATGTATTTACGATTTGTAAAACATAGTGTATATATTTAATAAATATTGTCTTAATCTATTAATTGAAACACATATAGACAAAGTTGATTAGTGTACATTGCAAACAAGAAAACCTGCTTTAACAAAAATCGTAATAAAGTCGAAAATAATTTGTCAAATTGGAATTAAATTGTGTGTCATTTACACAACTACCAAATGGACTATTAATAATAGAAAAGATTTATTAAAATTGAATCGGATGAGAGCGAAGGTCTGCGGATAATACCTTTTGAAAACAATGTGAAATGGATCGATCTACATGATTATGAGAGGTGGAACTATAAATCATAAAACTTTACTTATTCCTATGTTATATAAACTCTGGCTCTCAGTTGTATTTATTGCATCGGTGTCCTGCGTCGAGAACTATATAGTAGACAACTGTTCCGATTTTTATCGTGGAGGCAAGCTATAAAACGTAGGTGAGTAATATATATATATATATATATATATATATATATATATATATATATATATATATATATATATATATATATATATATATATATATATATATATATATATATATATATATATATATATATATATATATATATATATATAGGGTTCGTATAGCAGTCTTTGAAATCCTTGAAAGTCTTTAAATTTGAATGCAGGTCTTTAAGGTCTTTGAAAAGTCTTTGAATTGTGTGAAAAAGAGAAGAAAATCTTTAAAAGTCTTTAAATTCTTCAGTGCATGAGTATTTGATTATACGATTTCCTAGCTAATAAAATAGATTGATTAAAGCAAGATTTTCGCAAATATCGACGAAAAGGCGCATTTTAGGATGTGATTTGACGGGACTAATTACCCGGGGAAAAATGGTGCTCACACTCGCAATTTTTCCACAGCTAATTGCTCTCAAAGCTCTTTGAAAAGTCTTTGAAAATAGGCAGAAAAAATCTTTGAAAGTCTGAATTTTTTTGGTAAAAACTTTCTCGAACTCAAATTTTGTGAACCAGGGGGGTGTCTTTTCTAACAAACTAAAAATGGCTTGCGCACGAAATTTAAAAGCTTTAATCATATTTTAAGTTAACAAATGGAAATTTTGTTGAGTGTTTAATTACTGTACAAAATTTCAGACAATTCGCTTCAGTTTACGAGTGTTCTGTTTGTCTCGCTCGTCAATTTCCTTATCTTTCTCTCTATATGATCGGTCTTCCGCGCATTCTCGTGGTCTACGCGGGGACGTATCGGTCTACCGTACATGCATGGCTTCGTAGGGTGTGACTCCTGTAGCTGGGTGTGGCGTGTCTCTATAGGCTATTAGCATATTTTGTACTGCTAACTCTCTCTTTGCTACACGCTTTCCTTGTAAATGTGCAATATGTTCGGTTTTATTGATAGTCTGCATGAACCTTTCTGCCTCCCCGTTGGCTCTTGGGTGTTCCGGTGTTATACGGTGATGCGTAAATCCTTCGTGCTGGACAAACTGAGCGAATTCCTCTGAATTGAAAGGAGGTCCGTTGTCTCAATCTACGCGTTGTGGGGTTCCATGGTTTGCAAACATTCGTTTTGCAGTAGCTTTGCTTGGGTTGGTTTAAATGAGGTTGAGTAAGTGACTTCGATTTCTGGATAACGAGTTCGTTTGTCTATTGCCACTAGGTTGTAGTGGCCATCTGGATATGGCCCCCAAAGTCAATGGCGATCTCCTCCCAAGGTTTCTGTGCGAATAACCGTTGGCTTGATCGGTTCTTCTGTGTGCTGCTTGGTAGCGACCTGGCATTCAAAGAGTTATAGGCAATATATAAAAATTGAATTGTTTAGCTGAGTTTATGATGCCTTGACGAAGACTTAAAAATTTGAAGTTGCATCATACATCGGAAGCCCAACTTAAATTCAATGTCATAAAAAATGACCGGTCTATAGTGCAGATGAGTTGGCTAAATTATTTTTCATCAACTTTTGTATATATATCGTATTACCTTATATATGACGTATAGCCTATGCAATTAAAATTTATAAACATCACAAATAATTTCAATTGCCTAGAATGTCAACTGCATGTATAAATATACTACTTTTCGACTAGCTACTTTTTACCCTGAGTTTTAATAACGTCCAAGAGGCAAGATATGTTTATTTAGTCTCATAGCTCTACTGTTTTACATACACTGCCATTATTATGGTATTCAGTTTCTCCTATTTTGCATGCATGAGCTATTTCCGTTTCAGCAAAAGGGCAGTTTGTGTGTCGAGACTTGAGTGAAACATGATGTGTATTATCCGAATATTTGTTGCATTATTGGCCGTTATAAATGGACTCGATGGAAAAGCAGGTAAGGCTTCACTAGCTATCTAATGAACAAAAATCTATCGATAGAGTAAACTTTACACTCCTCATGTTCACTTTCAGTAAAAAAGTAGCACCGTGTGTCATCAGATGATATAGAAAGAATCCAGCTGCGGGAGAGCACGTTCATTTCATATATAAAATTATATTATGTTTATCATTTCTTATAACTTAAATTACTTAATATCAAATAATAAAGAGAATAGAATCAGTTTAATGATTTTTGAAAACTAACCTGTACAAACCTGTACTGTATTTACAACAGAGAGCGAACTTTTAACTTATATATAGCATGTAGAAACAGTTGATTTGTGAAGATGACAGGTTTGAATTCCAGCCAATCTTTCTAACAAGTTGCAAAACCTAAAATAAATGTCAAGATATTAGTGTTGCTGGAAGGCCAAATTAAAGAAATCATTTTTAACGCAGGAAAAACTGTCCCATAATGCCATGCATATATATGAGATCATATTTAAAAGTTGCTACTGTAAATTTTTCAACCGCGAGCCAGAGCCTGGAGGTTCATGGTGCTCGACATAATTTCACTTCAACCAAATCGACATTATTTCACGTCAACCAAACACTCCTATAGGAAAACATGACTCTAAGTACTAACTCTATACGCGTTTCAAGCGTTGGCGTTGAACCTCGAGGCTAAATCGTTCGATCGAAACAACAAGTCAACGATATACGTACAGTTTTGAACCTATTCAATTTTGAGGTTAACAAAATTTTATAATACTACTACTGTCGGGTGCTATTTGCTGCTAGCTGGAAGAAGTATTTAAGTACTAGTTAATGATGACTAGAAGCAACGCGGAAGCAATATTTGTTTGCTTCACTGAGTTGCATAAAGTTAATATTGCTGTATATAATGAGGAAGCGACTGGAGTTATATTCCACCTGGTGTTATATCCACGAAAGATCTTCATACCAGCCGAAACCTGCAACTCTATAAAGGGAGAAAAGATTGTAAGAATGTCATGTCAGCTTGGTTGAAAGGTGGAAAAAATACTTGTCAAGAGGGCTTGACGAAAAAATATTCAGAGTCGTTCAAAAAATTAAATAAATATATAAATAATATGATATAATTATGATGTTGTGATATTGTTCACTTGGTAATCCGGCATAAGATGAAATGTTTTTGAGTGAATTCACGTCCAAACCGCGCAAGCAAAAATTTCTGTCTGCCGTGGCAGGGTTTCGAACCCACGACCTTCGAAATTGAGCTCGACGCGCGTACGCTCTGCCAAGTACCTTAGGTTATCATTTATTAAGGCGCGGGGCTTGGGCGCGGGGTTGATACAAGTTTATCACTTTAGGGACGACACTGATAAATGTCACGAGCGAGAGCAGCGAACGAATGACATTCATGATATCGTTCTGAAAGCGATAAAACTGATATCACCCGATTATGATAAGCTGTTTATTAAAATATTTGTGCCTTTGTCAGGGTCAGAAGTTATTAGCCTTAATCATTGCCCCAACTGCCACATTATTAAAACAGCGGGCTGACAAAAACAGTGACAAAAAAGTGATATCAGTGTCATGTCGTTTTTATGTCATGACAACCTGTTATCGCCCTGATAAAGGTTGTCCACGAGCAAAGCGGAAAAGTTGAATACGAGCGCGAAAGGCTGCTGGGAATCGCTATGAAAATTCATTAATTTGTTATGGACTCCCAGCAGCCTTTCGCGCTCGTATTCGACTTTTCCGCTTTGCTCGTGGACAACCTTAATTGAAATAGCTGTATATATCAAACGATCTCATCGATTTTGCATTTTCATTTTTGCGCGACAATCTAGTCCCTGCATGACTTTGTTGTTGGGCAGCATGAGATATTAAGGTTTTATTATTTCAATATATTTGCATTAATTATATTTAGCGTCCTCTGTTTTAGACAAAGAAATTTCTTATGACGTTTAATATCCTTTCAGCCTTTCCTTCACAACAAAAGCTAACAAAAAATGTAATTAATATCACTGATTTCACGTTAGTTTACTGTATTTTTTTATACCTGTACTGTCACTACTGTGTTTCCACTAAATCAATAAGCACCCCTCTCTATTATGCGCGCTAGGATTAAGCCCCCCCCCCTTCGTGAAATAAAAGCGAACTTAAGCAAAGCTTAATCTAGTACGGGGACGTGTCGAGAAACCGCCTTAAATTTTACACTTTATAATTATAAAGAACTACTGTTATTAGATAGCTTAAGATCTACGACGTCGACGCCAGCTAGGACGTCAGGGCTAAGCAGAGGACTGGGACTACATTAGGACGACATGCTAGTCCCAGTCCACTGCATAGCCCTGACGTCCTAGCTGACGTCGACGTCGTAGATCTTAAGCTATCTATTGAGAACTTCGACAAAGCAGAATGAAAGTGCAACGAGAACGGCCAATAGTATCATATTAATGCAAGAAAACGAGCAGAAATTAATAATTAAAATCTCACGGACATTTTAGACGTCGCCGTAGCTCTGTTTTACAACGGCAAAATACAGATTATCACGTCTTGTATAGAACGCTTACATTCCAAGCTGGGACAACTGCTATTTTAAATTGGGTCCCAGAACTTTTCTCAATCATAAACCCATTGTTAATTTTGATCCTTAAACTGTATTATTTTCATACGATGGATAATATAGACGACGAGTTTTCTTCTGCATGCGCAATCATTTGGTTAAATGAGTTTGTTTGCCGTCGCGTTCACCGTCCTACATGCTTAACGTCGCTAAAGAAGCCACTTGGTGGGGCGTAATGGAGGTTTTACAGATATATCTAGCTATAACGGCTGTAAGTTCAATTTATATTATTCATATTTCTATAGTTGATACAGCTGTCAATCATCAAAAAAAAGGACTTTACTTTGGACTCATGATATCATGTGAGACTGGACGCAGTTCTATTGATTACCTGGACTATGGTTGTTTTTGTGGTCTGGGAGGGGCAGGTACACCTGTGGATGATCTGGACAAGTATGTATATATCTAGATTAAAGCATGAAAATTTTAAGACGAGGCGTATAGAAAAGGTTTGATTTACCTTCAAACAATTTCTCATTATGCAGGATAGACTTTCAACCACTAATCTAGGCTTTCAACCCATGGATGCTAAATTATGGCTGCTTCCTCGGGTAGCCGAGGTAGCAGAACACACAGCGGACAACGTGACCAGTGTCAGTTTAATTACCAGCTTTAACAAACGTGCGTGTATCAATAATTTCCCAATTTAAACACGAAATATACCATTTGCTATGCCATAGTCCATATTGTCCACACTTAGTCCACACTGTCAACACTTAGATATACATGTACAAGTCCATAGTTCACACTGTCCACACTTAGGTATGCAAGTTCACACTGTCAACACTTAGATATACAAGTCCATATTCCACACTGTCAACACTTAGATATACAAGTCCATAGTCCACACTGTCAACACTTAGATATACAAGTCCATAGTCCACACTGTCAACACTTAGATATACAAGTCCATAGTCCACACTGTCAACACTTAGATATACAAGTCCATAGTTCACACTGTCAACACTTAGATATACAAGTCCATATTCCACACTGTCAACACTTAGATATACAAGTCCATATTCCACACTGTCAACACTTAGATATACAAGTCGATAGTTCACACTGTCAACACTTAGATATACAAGTCCATATTCCACACTGTCAACACTTAGATATACAAGTCCATAGTTCACACTGTCAACACTTAGATATACAAGTCCATATTCCACACTGTCAACACTTAGATATACAAGTCCATATAGTTCACACTGTCAACACTTAGATATACAAGTCCATATTCCACACTGTCAACACTTAGATATACAAGTCCATATTCCACACTGTCAACACTTAGATATACAAGTCCATAGTCCACACTGTCAACACTTAGATATACAAGTCCATAGTCCACACTGTCAACACTTAGATATACAAGTCCATAGTCCACACTGTCAACACTTAGATATACAAGTCCATATAGTTCACACTGTCAACACTTAGATATACAAGTCCATATTCCACACTGTCAACACTTAGATATACAAGTCCATATTCCACACTGTCAACACTTAGATATACAAGTCCATAGTCCACACTGTCAACACTTAGATATACAAGTCCATAGTCCACACTGTCAACACTTAGATATACAAGTCCATAGTCCACACTGTCAACACTTAGATATACAAGTCCATAGTTCACACTGTCAACACTTAGATATACAAGTCCATATTCCACACTGTCAACACTTAGATATACAAGTCCATAGTTCACACTGTCAACACTTAGATATACAAGTCCATATTCCACACTGTCAACACTTAGATATACAAGTCCATAGTTCACACTGTCAACACTTAGATATACAAGTTCCACACCGGCTGTCCACACCTAGGTATACAAGTCCACACTGTCCACACTTAGATATACAAGTCCATAGTTCACACTGTCCACAATAGACCTTTCCCCTTTTGAGTGAAATTTTGATCTAGACAAGTCTGGACAAAAATTTCATCACAGCTTGAAAGAGCATCACAAAATTAGTAATATTCCGAAGTTTCGTTGCGAAGTGTTGTAAAATGCGGATAATATAGCCTTGCGAAGTTTGCCGTTTTTCAGTCATTTTGTATTACAAATGGGAAATTGATAATCAGATGATCAAACTGATGCAAAATGTTAGATTGTAATGCAAAATGACTGAAAAACGACAAACTTCGCAAGGCTATATTATCCGCATTTTGCAACATTTCGCAACGAAACTTCGGAATATTACTAATTTTGTGATGCTCTTTCAAGCTGTGATGAAATTTTTGTCCCGGCTTGTCTAGATCAAAATTTCACTCATAAGGGGAAAGGTCTATTGCGCATGTACTTCTCGTTGTCAAAAATTATTAAATCTGTATGTCCATATACTTTCTAGGTGCTGTTCTAGACACGATCAATGCTACAGTGATTTGCTCACCAACAACATTTGTCAGCTATCATTATCCACTTATTCCATTACTTACAAGTATCATGAATGCTCCAAATGTGGTAAGTAGTTAGTCATCCCCTGGTTAGGGATGGCCCATGTCCCGGTTAGAATCATTGCGTTATAGGATCAGGTATTCACAAATAGAAACAGTACGCCAGTATGATTATATGCATCATAGGTTCGTGGGTGTCCATATGATGTAATCAGAGAGGTAATATTTCAAATCCGACTTTGAGGACTGCGCGGACTAGATTTCAAGTCCGCGCAATTTGATTCGAGGACATGTTCAAAATGCGAGGAATCTAGTCAAGTCAGAAAGGGGCGTAGGACCGGGGCACAGGGGGCATGTGCCCCCCATTTTTTCAAAGGACCCGTGACGGGTAACTTGTTCTTCTTCCCACTCCCCCCCCCACCCCCGTCGGCCACGCGGGGGTAACCATGGCAAAACATGTAATGCCATTAGGTCAGAAGTATCAGGTGTCAGGTCACGCTGACATCGCGTAATACAATCGCGCAATGAAAACATGGCTTTTTTCCCTAAAATACATAATTTCTCGGTTTATATAAAACATTCTTAATTTGTACACTCGGCTTGGGACTCCTTGTGTTATAGCGCTATTTCTTGTCGTAAATCTTTCTTTTGGATGTTAAAAAAACCCTGTCACTTTTGCGTCAAAGTTACGTAATATTTCATTGTTTAGTATAAAAATTACTGTGAATGCGCCTGCGACCCGCGTGTAAAGCGTCGTAACCCTGTTTTGACATGCGTAATGTTAAAATGTACACGCAGATCGCAGATTCACAAAGCCTGGGCCCTTGCGGTCATTTTGGTGTGAAAATTTTACATTTTGACGCAATTTAGACCCCGTCACTTTGCGATTGAAGGTTAGACAATGATCTCGACTTCAGCGTTTATCAGGTTTTGGCTGCCGGTTGATGCAGCGTACGAAGAAAAAAATGAGAAGGAACAAGGACATGATTCACATGAACAATCGTATAGAAATCCTTTCTTTGAAGTTTGTATAAACCAGCAAGTATTTGCAAGCATTGCTACAATATAAAGTCCTTTAGCTTTGCTCTAAACGCCGAGAAGCATTCAACTATTTTACTTTATTTATACAATTAAGGCTTGGATATTTATACTTTATATGAACAACGACTTTATTATGTACAATATACATAGCTCAACAGCGTTCTTATTCATGTTTAGTATGTACAATTTTGTAAAAGCCTTTCTCTGGTCGACATCGCTTCGAGACAGTCGCTATATGTGTTCAGTAATACATGATACTATGATTACGCAAGTAAAATGACACCAAGTGGCAAGTGCGCCAGCGCAAACTCGTTTGAGCAAATGTCGCTCGCAATAGGCTTATCTTTTGGCATGTTTAGGTGCCCTTTTCAATATCCAAAAGTGGCCCTGCAAGCCGGTGCCCCCCCCTATCTTTTGATGCTTCCTACGCCCCTGCCAGTCAGTCCAATTAAGGACTGAATTAATTTTGATCCAATCCTAGGACTGGGTCCATACACTTCACCAGGTATCCAGTATTATCATGTGAGCGAAATAAAGCAATATTGGGTTGTAACACGGAGACTGGACGAATTAACGGTGCATGTCAAAGTACTATATATTCTCAGCTGTTGAATCATTATTTGTCGGTTCCACTTATAGCCACAATAGAAATCAAATTTTCTTTCTCAAATTTTATCTATTGAGGAGTCGCACAATAGACGAGTCTTACTTAAATTCCGCATACCGCTATGTTTCTTTCCTAATTTCGATCATGGCTGACGTTATCCCACGTTCTGCAAAACCTCAGTTATTCTTATAGCATCAAGTGGTGTATAATTATGATCTAAAATCCGACACAAATAGTGCCCTGTCCATAAGATGCTTGCTAAGGAGGTTGTTGTTCTATCACGTTCTGTTGTGAGATTTAGTAAGCCGAGGACTAATAGGGGGACTAGAAGGGTTCGACGTAGTCAGCCCCAAACGAATGTGTGCGGGGGAGGGGCGATCTAATTGTCCGGCGACATGGTCCTCCGGAAAATGTTTCTAATTGTTTGGGTCTGCGAAATTTTAGACACGTTTTATGATAATCTGAAAGGCACAGATTTGGTATATTTTATGTAATAGATGAAAATATTATTACTGTAAGAGGTTTCGCCCTCCCCCCCCCCTCCCACAGTTTCTCTTCGGTTTTGAAAGAATCACAAAATTGGTCCTGAAATTAAAGCAAATTAAACAAAATCTCTCTTATGTATTCGCCATTTGATCAGGAACTCTGACATTTACAGCCGAGAAAGTCGCTACTTGTGTCCCCGTTTTAACCGCATTACAGAGGGAGGAAGAACTTTTGCTGTGAGAACTATAAAGGCGGGATTAGAACAGCATTGACGTTAGTATTAGAAAGGCCTTGAAGGATTAGTGTCAGGGTCATGCATTGGTAGCATTGCGGGCTTCTGCATGTTACTGTTTACATTTTACTCAAATAAAACAAATAACGATAAAAATTCCTTGTTTGGTACATTTCTGATAAAAGTACACAAAAAGAGCAAGGATTATAATTCCTGGTGTGACGCTAATCCTTTAAGCTTTAGTAGTTTCAAGAAAAAAAATTTAAAACATTTTTAGATGCTCAGGAATTACTATAGCTAAAATAGCTATATAATTTTGAGACATTTTATATAAAATGATATAATTATGTGACACTTTTCCTAATTAGCAATAACTTAGTTTCTACTATTTTAACTTTTTATCCAGGTAAATTTAGTATAAGCTTATAGAGGACCACGGAAGCATCATTTTTATTAATGTCATGTGTTATCCTCTTTTAATAATAAAAGTCAAACTAAACTAAACTAAACAAGCCTACTACAGTCAGGCAGTCAAAAGCTCGCTGTGTACGTGACAAAAATATTAGCCAGGATGACAGAACGTGTGAGCCATAATAATGACAGAATTAACATTCATTGCAGGTTTAGTACTATCTGTTGCATCATGGTGCTTCATTTAATCTTCTCATTTTCTTCTTCAGCCCAGCCAGATGAGTACAGTTGGTGGGATAGTTTGGGGTATGAGACAGTGGCTTGTCGTAAGGCGCTGTGTGAGTGTGATGCAGTGGCTGCAAGATGCTTCAAGAAAGCAAAATTCAACGACCTTTTCAAACATTATGATCAGGCTAAATGTTAGATACAGTATAGACGGTTTAATTCTGACTAGTAAATTTAGAGGCAATCAATACAATTCAGCCTGTTTAGTAAATAGCAGTAATTGTTTACAGTTTTTATTTTCGATTACAAAATAAACAGTTCATCGCATTCCTTGCAGCGTAATCATCAGTATTCAGGAAAACATTACATAAGATTAAAAAAATTATAATATCCTGCACGCAGTAACGCGCAATCCCATCGTTGGACTCATGCACACAGCAACGTTTCGATCCCCATACGTCTCTCAACCAAGTCCTTAGCGACCGTATGTACTGGCAACTGATTATTCACACTCGTTTTTTATTCATGTTTGAAGTACCTTGAACATCGGTACTCGTTTCCCCTTGGTACATGTCTTGCTTTCAGTGAAGTTAGCTTCGGCGTTCAAATGTTTGACTTATAAGCTGAATTGAGAATATACATCGAAAAATGGCGATGGATTATGCACCCAATTATGAGCCCTAATGTTCAGAAGTTAGCTTCAAAATGCTGAAGTGAACAAATGTTGACTTTAAATTATGAAAGACGTAGTTTAGACGAGCCTACGACTATATGTAGCAACAAAATCGGCGAGTTAATCTTTTAAAATACCTGGTTTTCTACGAGTTTCTACCTGCACGCTATGCCATCGCTATTGACATGGTCAAGGCGTGTATACTGACCATAGGCAACTTCAACACCCTATACTATTGACCTTCTTTGATGCGACTATGTAAGGCAATTAGCTAATTTTTCTACTTTGGAAGTGATACTTTCACATTTGCGCCAAGAACCTTGAACGAGCCCCATTGGACAACATGTTTGAAACATTGTTCGTCTTGCATCTGACATCTGACACATATAGTTGTAGACAAGGTATGACCAACACGCATTTCACGAAGATTTCTGTAAAATTTCTCCACTGATGAACATCATAGTTGTATTGTCAGGAATGGCCCACAGAGCTGTAACCAGACTTTGCACCAGCCATCAGAAATACTCTTGCCAATCCAAGGACTCCTTCGATGCTGATCAGCTTTCCACGGGCAGTGTGGCAAGCGCTAAAGACGACCATGTCTGCAGTAACGTTTAGTCTGGAGACATGTTCAACCGTAAGACAACTTATTTTCTTAGTTGGGTCAGTTACCCTGAAAGAAATATGTGACGTTACTCGTAGCCCATATTCACGACCACATGCATAACGTCCGAATAATTCAGCGCGGGAGCGCAAAGCCTCGAGCAATTTCGTCTGATGATCACAGGCAGATATTAACTTTTTCATTATTACTATGACATTACACTGCTTGACGGGTTTTTTCTAAATGCGTACGTATTTTCCAGATTATCGAAGAAAGTTATTAATTAAAAACGGTAACTGTGCATGTGGGTGAATGTACAGTTGGGGAACAGGATATGATTTTGGCGTAACCTTTGCAATTGATCTGTCACCATTGAGGTTCCATATAAGCAAACACTCGCAGAATATTTCAATAGATCATATTGTATAAAAATATAATATCTCAAGAACGGACTAACATATGGAAAAGTTGCAAATCGTTTGTTTTCACAAGTTCAAGCTCTTGAGCTTATACCACCGTTATGGTCTCCCAAATTTTGGTTAAATAATTCCTATACGACTTAAATTAAAGTAATATTTAAACTGCTTACCCATTCTTTTTCCGGCGCCAAAAACAAGCGTCGTCCATTGGTGCTGACGGAAGGCGACTTACCACCTCGCTACGTGTTACTAAACGCCCAACCAGTGGGGTGACACCAAGCAGTCGAGCCATCATTTCTGCTTCTTGTTGAGCACATGGTAGTTCAGGGAGATCATTGGTTGGGTTGACTACGATAAGTGATTCCTCCATTCGATCTCTTTGGTGGATTCGGTTCGTCTGGTGGAGTGAATGAACAAATGGAAAGAAAATGCCTCAAGTAAGGTCACTTGGTGGCAAAGATGTTTCCCATTCTTCAATCGTAATGATGCATAAGGAATATTGAAGGTATTTTATTGTGGAATGATCTGTAGTGAGGGTTTTCCTGTTGTGGACTCTTTGACCATCTGCTTTAAATGATGCTCAATTGGTTTCAGAAACAGCTCGCTTAATAAGAAAGTTGAAAAGTTTGGCGTAAGGTTATTTAATATTTACGCATTTTATGAACTCTTCATGTGAAGATTGTCATGCGAAATTTACCGCAACTAGCGTGTATATTAGAAGCTTGTATATCAGCTTGTATATTAGCTTGTATATTAGCTTGTATATTAGAAGCTATTAATAGTCTGGAAATACATTTATTTTCCCAAAGTTTCACTGGAAAAGAATTTACCTTATTTCATTGGTAATTTCCGTTAACTCTTCGATTGGATTTCTCTAACCTCTCTTTGAACTTATTGCTGTCTCATGTCTCAAAGAAAAACATGGTTGCGCTCTAGATATTGGGCTATGGTTTGACATTGGTCTACGCATCGCTGGCATTTTTATATAAGAATATCGAAAACAGTTAGATAGATAGGGATTATTTATTACGCGGGTTTAGACCTTAAAACCGGCGGCATCGTGGCTTTGCGGGCATAAATTTACACACGAATTAAGTTTTAAAACACATTTATTTCTTCAAAACGTTTACAAAGTTATGCAAAGTTATACATATATAATATATCGTCACTTGTTTGAGACGTTTCACCATCTAAGATACTGTGTGATATCCTGCGATACTGGTTGATATCCTAGGATATCAATATCTTAATTAAAACTATTAAGACTATAGTCATGACTATTAAAACTATATATAGTCATGACTATTAAGACTACAGTCATTTATATTAAGACTATAGTCATGAATATTAAGACCATAGTCATGACTATTAAGACTGTAGTCATGACTATTAAGACTATAGTCATAACTATTAAGACTATAGTCATGACTATTAAGATTATAGTCATGACTGTTAAGATTATAGTCATGACTATGAAGACTATGGTCATGACTATTAAGACTATAGTCATGACTATTAAGACTGTAGTCATGACTATTAAGACTGTAGTCATAACTATTAAGACTATAGTTATGCCTATTAAGATTATAGTCATGACTGTTAAGACTATAGTTATGAGTATGAAGAATATAGTCATGACTATTAAGACTATAGCCATGACTAGTAAGAATATCACTGGGTTCCGTGGTGCCCATATGCACAGAAGATACGGAATCGGTGGAATCTTGTCTGTTGCGATTCTCATCTTTCGTTGGATATTTTAATATCGCTGGTGACTTTTGCTATAAAGTTCGCTTGCTTCGTTTTGTCTGTCTCTTTAACTGACGTCTGACTTCTTAAATCGTTGTCCGTTCGATCGTTGAGAATTACCCCATTTGGTTTGTCATTCGACATGCTTTCAGTTTCCTGGACCTTCTGTTAGTATTGAATGCTTCTGCCAGCTGGCCTTTTAATCTGAGGTTTCTCTTCTCTTTTAGTGTTTTCAGTGTTTTACGAATTACGGTATGAGAGATTCCCATGAGCGGATTCTTGTAACTCAATATCGACGAAAATGTCGACTTTGTTCACCATAACCTCCGTATCCGTTCATACAATTCCGGTTTCAGATAGACCTCGTTCAGTAGGAAATAGAAGTTACTGTCAGTGTTTAATAGAAACACATCTCCATCGCTTCTCCCTGTAAATGGAATGATCTACGCCCTACAACTATTTCGCACTGATATATTCTCCTATATCTGTGGTAGAAACGAGAAGTTTCTACGAGACTAGTAGAACTGTGTAGCTTCTCCGTAGAACGTAGTAGGCGTAGCCGTAGAACTTTGATTCATCGAAGCTTCTCCGAAGAAACGCACTCCTCGTTAGAACTTCGTGAAATCAGCGTTGTTGCCTCAAACAGTCGAAAATTTGGGGTCTTTGACGTGCGTTCGCGGAATAAAACAGTCGCGCTTTTGCAACCTGAAAAATCGCAGGAGCCAATCATTTTTTGATAATTTTAGGTATGCCTCGCATTTCTATTTCAGAAACAGTACAATTTTCAGGTCGTACTTTCTTTATAACCAACAAGCCTTTTCGCCATAAGTTTCCAGTGAACTCTACAGCGTTTGCGTTCTCTTATAATTGTTATATCCCCTAATATGACCGCGAATTCTACGCCTTGGATCGTCCATATGTTTTCTCCCAATCCTTATCTTGGATTTCTCCAGTAGAATTTGTTTTCAGACTTTGTTTTGTAGTATTCTCATTGCTTAATACCCTATTAATAACCTTGGTCACTTTTCCTACATAGCTAGTTATTTAACAATTATTCGCCGAAGGCGAGGTGATTATCGGTGAATAAAAACCGAGACGAAGTCGAGGTTTTTATTCACGATAATCACCGAGCCTGAGGTGAATAATTGTTTTAGTATAATTTCATAGGGGATTGTTTGGAAAAAAATTAAAAGATGCACAGTTCTTCGTCTTTTAATTGACAAAACGGCTTCGGCCGCCATTTTGAAAATCGCTTAGGTGATTATTACCATATTACGCGCAAAAAGAGCAAAATTGCATAAAATAGGCATTTAAAATAGGCATCATTTGTCCATACCGCTAAAATTTTTTATTAAAAACAAGAGCGTTAATTATGATCTTTACGAGTTCAAATTTTAGTACTACACTTCTGGGTACTAGTTATCAAACGTTTGGTATTCAGGACGCAATCTACAATATTCCCACGCGTTAACTGAAAGTTTAAAGAAGTTACAGTGTCGTAGAAAGCTTATTAGGGGGGGGGGGTATCAAAGTCCCTCAAGAGGGGAGGGGATTTTAAAATCCCAGGAACAGTTTGAAAAGTTAGAGCCATTGAAACGCTCTTCCTAATATTTTGTCCACACTCTGACACTGAATACTCGTGATCATTCTTTCAGCTATCTCAATGTCATAATTGGGGGGGGGGG